AAAATTATTGAGGAATTTTTCTTCAAATGTTTGGCGTGTTCTGTTCCTGAAAGATTTACTACTGTTATCTATAACGTTTTAAAGTTCTTCGGCCTTTTCCTTAGGGAAATTTTGTTTCTTATTTGCTGCTAAAAAATGGCGTCTTTTTCTGTCAATGATTTCGATGGAACTAAATGAAAACGTGATAAATTAATGTCTGATATTTACAGGCTCCCGCTAGACGGCGTACTCGAGCGTTGCGATCGCGAATAGTGTCTAACTTTAATTCTACTGCATTAGCAACAGTTTCACTCTTGTTTCCATGGCAACAGATACCCTTAGTCGTTCAGTCAGAGTTCTCTTTAAAACTGGACAGAAAGCGTTGAACTTATTATACTCTTGGCAAATAGAATAATCGACACAAAGTGACGTGATCTTCCCTTTCTCTGTACTCTACGCTTCTACGTTCTTGTTTTTCTGGCAATTTCAACTTCTTACTGAAGCGTATTTCCATCTGGCGAAAGTAAGACTTGTCAAAAAAATTCTGAAATCGTGAAAAGTTGCGACTTTTTCCCCCGTAAGCATGGAAAGGTTGAAGTTTGCTTACTTTTGATGATAAGGGAAAATCCAAAATTACTATAAACATGCTTACGTAGCACTTGAATGGCCCTTTATTGTTCCATTTGTTATATTATTTGTCATTTTGAAATATTGTTAGAGACTAATGTTTATTTTTTATATCTTCCATAGCATGAAATACAGATTCCTTGGAGTAATATCATGTGTTGTTGATTGTGGTGATCATGCCTCAAGATGGTTTCAAAGTTACTTAAGCATGCCCGATATTCGTTTAGTTCGCTTCTTTCCTGATTTTCCTAAGCGAAATCTAACATGGATACCGTCATTTTTCTCAAAACTAAAGAAGATAAATCCAGTAAGGCACAACTTTCCTTAGGATTTATTCATGATTCATAAATGTAACAAATTTAAATATCTTTAAGGTAAGCATTTTAAGTTTTTCGACTCTTTTTCGCCGAGGAAAAAAAATTAAAATGCCCTTCACTTGAACTAAAACTGTAATTTTAGATTATAAATACAATCCTTTCTTGCAGAATAATCTGGGTTCCAGAAAGAACAAATAACTGAAATATTTTAAAAGTTATTAAATTTTTTATAAATCTTCAATTTGACGAGACTTTTCAATTTAGATACAGATTATCGGAATCATGAAAAAAAAATTTTTACTCATTTTTATGAGCTCAGGTAATTTAAAAGTAAGCTTTTAAAATTTGAAAATTTAATCTAAGACGCTTTGCATAGAACGTTATATTGACTTACTGCGCCATTTTTAGAATAAGTTTAGAGGACGCTGGCTAAACTTGATCTGACAATCAGGAATAACTTACGAGCAGTTTTGAAAATAGCAGAATATTCGCAAAAAAACATTTATTGAAACACACATTAATCCGCCCTTGATATGTAGTTTTAACAGGAAATTATAAATGTAGTATTTGACTATAGTTCGTTCACCAGGAGTTGGCACTTGGCTCCACCTCCTCGGACGCAGAGTTTATTTTAGTGCGGAAGTAAGAGGAGAAACATCTCCGCCCTTGAAATTGAGACAACCCTTAATGTGCACCAACTCTAATAGTGAAATCTTTTTCAGCCACTTACTTCGCTTTTTCATCTGCTATTATACCTTTCGTCACTCTAGCTAATTAAATATATTTTAAATTAAAAAACTGCTGTTTTCCCAGCAAAATGACTCAAAAAGGACAAATTATTCACTCTAACGAGAGGAATATCATCAAATTTATGAAATATTTAATGTTAAAAAAATGCACAAATAAGATTGCGAAGTAAATATTTTTCACATCCTTCTCCCAAAAATAGCAAAATAGTATCGTCGGATACCACGTGATGAAGGAGGAGCCAAGAGTCAACTCCTGGTGAACGAATTGTGTATCCGTTAGGAGTCGCAAATAATGATTTAAGTGGCGAAAAAAATATATTTTCAAGGTTTGTTGTTGTTGTTAATTTACGTCGCACTAGAGCTGCACAATGGGCTGTTGGTGACGGTCTGGGAAACTTCCCGGAGGATGATCCGAAGACATGCCATCACAATTTTGATCCTCTGCGGAGGGGATGGCACCCCCGCTTCGGTAGCCCGACGACCTGCGCGAGAAGTCGAGCACTTTACGGTAGCACAGTTTAACGAGGACCAATACCGCACACCCTCGGTCCCTACGCAGACTGATCCAAGTGGTCACCCACCCGCACACTGACCGTAGCCAGTGATGCTTGACTTCGGTGATCTGCTGGGATATTTTCAAGGTTTAACTTATAACTATTGAGGTCAATAAGTGTAAGGAAAAGACTGCAATAATCGAAATGCATTTTATTTGCCAATTGAACTAGAATTCATCTGCCTTTTATCATAAAATTCATCCACTTTTTGTCCCCTTGCTAACCATCTTCAAATAAACTGATTTCAATACCTTCTTTGACCTTATTGAACTCAATAAATGTTTGGTTAGAGTTTAAGAAAGTTATGTCGTCACATCTTGTCACAATCTTCAATGGATGATCTTATTTCTAGATTGACAAGGTGACTTCAGACAGACTGTCAGATCTTTCTTATATAATTTTTCATGATCATTTTTCACAAAAATGATGACCTGATCGCCATCTGTTGCATTTTGAAGATTTCGAAGTTTTGACTAGCCTATAACAATCAGTTTGCCCCAAGAGTTATGACACAGTGAAGATAAGCCGCGCTGTATGGTTACCGTCCGACTTGAAATTCATTTTTTTTTCAGAATCAGCTCCCCTTTCATCTTCATATGCGCTTCTCACATCAACTTTCATGCAAATATTTTTTCAATGAACTAGCTGCCTTCAGCGACCACCTATTCCGGATTTTGAATAAGTAGAATTTCATCCATTTCGAGATTTAAAATCGTTCAGTTAAAAATCAAGATAATATATGTAAGTATAAACTCTTCTTTCTCAAATGAGAGTTCTACCGTAAGGTGATCGACTTCGCTCGCAGATCATCGGGCTACCAAAGGAGGGGAGCCATCCCCTTTGCAGAGGATCAAAATTTGCGATGGCATGTCTTCGGATCATTCTCAGGGATGTTTCCCAGACGGTCGCCAATAGGCCACGCTGCAGCTTTAGTGCGACGTAAATAAAGTACCTTTACCTAAAGTACCTAAAAATTTTAGGTGTCTAAAATTGTCCCTTTAAAACTGTCCAAATTTCACGAACAATTTTGGAGTTAAAAGTGACACATTTACGAACACGAACTCTTCCTTTTATTGTTATGGATTTATTTATTTTATTCGGTAAATTGAAATTTGATTTAAAGCATTTTGCTTTATTTGACAGAAAGATCTTCAAGATTTAGCAGCGGTTCACCTTATGTCACAATCTTCAATTGACGATCTCAACTCTAGACTAGTTGATAGACGTGTTTCTCATATCAACTTCAGACCAAATATTCTAGTCGATGAATGCGCACCATTTGCTGAGGTAAATATCAACCACTATCAATAGGACTGTGTTGGATTAATTTAAGTGCTTTTATTTAAAAAAATTGCATAAAAATTTATATTAAGGGGAAATTATTTCGATTAACTACCATTTTAGTTTTTTTTTATTTACTTACTTTTCATTTTTTTAAATTATTTTTCTAAAATTAACGTTAATGATTTGTATCTAAAAATCGGGAATCATAATAAAAATCACGGCCTTTTGATTTGGTGATAATTTTAATTAAGTTTTGCTAAAAAATTCGTATGCATGGTTGGACCTAGCATGGTTGCAAATAGCATGGTTGGGCCTAATCGCGTGTTGGTGTATGGCGTATTATAGTTACATCTATTAAACTTGGTTTATAATGACGCTGAATAGATTTTCATAACAAATTTAACTGGATACCTCCAAGCGAAGTCACGAGTATGCGTCGAAACTTATTGGTTATTGAATCATGACTTAAGCAAATGCTTCGATTTACCTTCGCGTGACGTCGCTAGTCACGTGAATCTAAATGTAAACCGATCTAATGTAAAACGCTAATCTAATCCGCTATCTAAAGGTAAAACGAGCAAATCGTTACGATTTATGGTAAGTTTACAAATAAAACTGTGTTTTTACGTAAATTTGAAATATTATATTTTACCTTAATTGGGTACTTATACTTCAAGAAGAAGACCTCCCATACCCCCACATGTGACCTATGACGTCAGCGCGAGCTAATCTTTAACAGCAAAATGGCTTATTAAAGTTTCTCTACGTAAATTAGAATGTTAATTAACGATTAGTTAATTAAATACTGAGCCGTATCACACATCGAGTTAGTTGAAATATAATTCCTTTACGTCTACTCCTTTTACCTTACCAAGATTTATTATTTGCTTATGCATTTTATGGCAACCATGAAATACTTTTGTTTTGTGTACCTGGCAACTCCGATTCATAATTAGTTTGTTTATCCTCCACGTGACTTTGTGTCTATCTTAGTCTCTGCGTAAATATATAGTGAAATGATTGAAATCTTTGAGAAAGAACTTTTTTGAAAGAATTAAGAATGTGTCGCTTAAAATAATTGATACTTGATTGGCTTGGCTTACTTGAAATAGAATAGAAAGAACAGTTGCTAACGTAAACAAATGTCACGTTTCAACAACCAATCAGGTTAGAGATACCCATACTAAGTCACTTTCAGGTATTCGATTAAAGGAATTCATATAAATGATATTTTCTACTATTTATAGGATTCATGGCATTATATGAAGCTTGGCAATCAATGTGAAATGGAAAGAGTTATTCCAGTAGCCAGGTAAGAGAACTAATTTTCCGCATGTTCTATCAATCCATATCTATCTTTTTTCTCCACTTTACTGCTATTTTTTTTTTTTAAATACTCAGTCTCTTTTTAGATAAATGATTCAACTCTAATTTTATTCTAGCTAATTTTATATTTTCAGATGCTTGATGACTACTATGGAACCAGAAAAAGGGATTTTGACGCAAAATGAGCCAATGGTGACTTTAAGAAAGTAAGCAACATTGATCATAGTTTTATTGTAAATAAAAGCATAAATAGTTAACATTAGAAGATTTTACCATGTTAATTATTGATTATCTAATCTGTCTCAAACATATCTGAATACATTTTACCAAATGTTTTTATTATTTTTGATAAATTTAATTACTTTCTTCAAAAGCACTACAGCCTATAACAAGCCAAGGCCGTTCCAATAAGCTTCCTCTAACGGGCCTGTCTCTACGCAATGCAAAATTTAATACTAAATGACATTTTTACGAAGCATATTTTTTAAATTTTTTTCATTATTACTATAATTAAGGTAAAATCAAAGCTTACTTTTAAGATTCAATAAAAGCTCTTAAAATTTAAATAATTCAAGAGAATTTAAAAATGAGCTGATTAGATTGTTAAAAGATATTAAAAGGCATTTAAATATTGGTTTATTTTCAATCTATTTACCCAATCTTTCATAAGATTCATGTAAAACATGTTAAATGGTATCTATAAAATGTAGCAGTAGTGTAAGATTAAGTTTCTTATTTTAACTACCTCTTCACTTTTGAAAAAATTTACTTAAATTAAAAAATTTCTATTACAAGTATTTTATGATTACAGTTTATCAAATCCCATAAAACAAATTCATCTCAACTAGAATGGCAAAATTAAGTTCGCTTCACGTTTAAAATGTGCCATAAAAACACAACTCAGAGTGACTTGCTATAAGTTTGTTTCATGGATAATGACAGTCATAAAATTCAAAGACAACTTAAACAGCCTGTCAGGCTAATTTTAAGTTTGTTTCTTGTCTCATATGCGTCAGTTATAGTAATACAGGGTGTGTCACAATTCCCTCCGGGATTTGGAAAGGTTGTAACAGACAAAACATCACCAATGCATCAGAACAAATTTTACCTAATCTGATTAAAAAAAAAACATAATTTTTTCCCACAAATGTTTAATATAGGTACCTTTGGGGAGCCTCAGACTTCAAGTCTGTAATAAAAGCATGGCCACACTCGGCTCAACCAACACCTCCTAGAAAAGAGTAGGCCTCTGCCTACTCTTTTCTAGGAGTAATATCCTTTAGTAGTCCAAACGTAATGACATATTTCGTATTCTCAACCACTGCGCAGCTTAGGACCCCGAACGTAATGACATCTTTCTTATTTTTCAGCAACTGCGCAGTTAACTTCGTCACATCGGACTACTAATTTGATCCGTGCTGAGGCCTTCCTTATTCTAGGAGGTGTTTGCTCAACACGTAATGATTAATGGTAGCAGTTGTGATCCTTCTTCCCAATTCTGCTAAATCACGTGGCAAAAATACACATTCATTGATGTAATCCTGAAAAAAGTAAAGAGTTAAGTCTGGAGAGCACGGTAGTCATGGAAGAAAACAATTGTCGTCGCCATGGAAGTTCAATCCAATGACGAGGTATCTCGTTATTTAGGATTATTATTATTAACTCGTCATTATGGTATTAACGTTTTTTATAACATATAGGGTCTCCCATCTTGTTGAAAAATGAACGACACAGAATTTCTATAATTTTGGCATTAACCACAGTTGCAGCATATTGAGGTAAACAATGCCATTTACTGCAATTTGACTAAGATTTAAAGTCTACCGCGTTCCCAAAGGTTCACATATTCAACATTTGATTAAAAAAAAAACTTGTGATGCTTGTTTAGCGGGAAAAAGAAATTAGTCGGTGTATTTATAATATTTTATTTGTTATAAACCCTCCGAACCCTGGAAGTTATTGTAACACACCCTGTTCTTTGAATTTAAAAGTAATTGTTTTAATGTATGTTATAACTGTTTTTTTTTTTACTTTTATAGGTACAGAATACCTCGTGATCCAAAAATATTGCAGATAACAGGTGCAATACCTTGTTTTGGCCAAGCATGTTTCCTGTTACGAACTGGAACAATCAAACTACAAGATGACATTTTTGCCACTATTACCAAACCTTTTGACACTGTATAAATTAAAATAATGCTTTATCTATATCAATAAAACATAATGCTTATAAGTATGTGTGTATGTACCTTATACAATTCCGCAATTCTAAACCAATCCACACCAAATTTGGTCGCTACATCGCAAAGAAAGAATTTTCTATAGAATTCGATATATATTTTATAGAGCAGTGATGGCGTTGGGGATAGAGCATTCGCCTTCAAATGAGGTAAACCGGGTTCAAATCCCAGCGATGGCTGGTCGATACGAATTCCGCCTCCGTCTTGCACCGACCACAGTGCTGATACAAAATATCCTCCCATACGGATTATGTGTTAGAGTCCCTTTGCCGTCAGTGTAACCGTAGGAGGTTCTCATGTATTTATTCTCCATGTAACGCAAATAAGGGATAGTTCCATCAAAAAGTCCTCCACCAAGGCAAATTTCTCCCAATACTTGATCTAGGATTTCCCTTGTCTTCTGGACTAGGCTCAAAATTGCAAGTCTACGGAGTTGAATATTAGTAGTCTTAAAGCCAAAAATTGGGCTGGCTGTTCGGTTATAAAGTTTTAAAAAAAATAATCCTCAGACTTAGTCTGAAAATAAAATAAAATCTTTCTAAATGACGAGTCATTTACGTGTTAAAAATAATATATAGTATTTATTTTAAGGTAAAACCAGTCATCCGAGTTTCTAAATTAAGTGATTTTATCGATTAATCGCAATAGAATATTTTGTAACAAGTTATATTTTAATATCGAAAAATTAAAAAAAAGGCTCTATACTATTCAGTTTTCTGTCTCTCCTGTAAAATTAATTTCAGTGGAGAGATAATCGGTTTCGCAATCATCGATTCAATTTTTTTACTAAATTCTGCTATTCTAAAATTGTAAATTTAAATTTCACATCAATAGCAACATAAAGTATTTTCGTGTTTGATTGATCTTTAAATAATGTTAACTTGTATTTTTAAATTTTGTAAGCAGAAATAAATATCAATTTCTTTAAACCCCTCATTTAGTTTATCCTTTTCCGATAGAGGGCGTAAACATAAATGATCTTTCCATTATCTTAGAAACCCGATAAGAATTTACCACTTGAAGTATTCTCCAATTTATTACAGCTGTTTGCTTATCATTTATGAATTGTGAGTAGAATATATCCTTATAGCTATACAACAAATATTATTACCATATAAAATATTTGTTAGTTATTCTTATAATTAGAAAAGTTTATTTTTATAAATTATTCGTAGCATTATTGTAAATATTTTTAGAGCGCAAGATTAAAATTTTATAATGAATGATGTTGAACTGATGTTGATAACGGTCAAGGAATTCATTTTTTACTGGCTGAATACCCGTTTTTTGTACGGAGTGAAAAAAAAGTAAACAATCAATATAATACTACTGAGCAAAACTACGAAATCATGCTCGAAACTGAAAGATATACCAACACAATGATATTTCGTGCACCTTTTCTTCCATTAATTTTGCCAATAGAGTACTTAGCTTGTTTTTTCAATTTATTTAGTACTATGCATTACCAAAATTAATTAAGCGTCATCGGCGTCAAAATGGTACATGGATCATTTTGCTTTTTAGTACAAAGTTCTTTTTTATTATTTCAATTAATTATAAAAATTAATTAATTGGTGTCAATAATAAGCATTATGATTTTTTACGATTCTCCAAAACGAATTCTCCAAAACTAATTTTTTTTTTTAGTAAGTTTTTTTTTATTTATTTCAATTGGTTCCTATTACGAAAATTAAAGCATCATTGCGTCAATAATAGCATGGCGATTTTCCAAGCTTCACCTGAATAAATTAGTAATGTTTATTAATTAATTTTGCTCTTCAGTGCGTGAATTTTTTTTATGTTTCAATTAGTAGGGGAGAGTAAGTGGGGACAATTGTAACAGTTCATAAATTCAACTAAAACATAGTTAATTATACATATTATCATAGTTGTGATACATTTTTTATTGATAAAAATAGTAGTGATATTTTAGGAGTAAAAATAATAATGAGCAGAGACCTAAAGGGTTAAACTTTTAACTTTAAAGGGTTAAAAAATTTAATTTATGCTGTGAAAGGTGACAAATAAAATAATGCACATGCAACATAATATAAATGATATAGGAAACTATGTGTGGTTCTTAAAGAGTTAAGTAAAGGTTTGTAAACATAAGATTATTTATTTTCAGCTGTTACAATAGTCCCCAAGACGCCATTTCAGCTTCATTTGTTAAAAACAATGCTAGTTAATTAACAAAACTAATATTTTTTTTGAAATGTTAATTAAAGTGTCCACTTACATATTCGGTTAATAATTTTTTTTTGTTTAAACAAAATTACTTTGTTACAATATAATATTCTAATACCAAAAAAAAAGTACTTACGTAGCGTTAAAATATCTTTTGTGATGTAACTCTTTCAAAAGTACATAAAAATAGTTACCAGCAGGGGTGTGCATGAAGATTTATTAAATACACCTTGTGCGCCACCTAGGAACCAGACTAGAACCCGACACTCGAAGTTTTTGCTCTGTTACAATCGTACCCAGTTACAATTGACCCCACTCTTCCCTATCTATTATCTAATTTCGTTCATTTTCGTCAATAATAGTATGCGTGGTGATTTTTATATTTCTCCTAAACAAGATAGTATTATTTCTCCATTGATTTGGTATATCAATACACAACCTATTTTTTTAATTTCATTTACCGATTATTTTAAACTCGGTTTTATAGAAGCACGTCTTAAAAGCGTATCAATAAACAAAATAAACAGATGGTTTCAGATAAATTCAGGAATACTAATTTAGTGACATAATCCACCTATGATCATTGAGTCATATTTATCATTAAGTTAATATTAAAGAACATGTGATTAACTCCTTTCTAAATGAGAGTTATAAGCTAAAAACAACACTGATGTTATATGTAAAAGTAAAAAGTCTGGAATCATTTCCGAATTAATTTTTATCAATTATGAGTTCTACAACAATCAAAAAATTTCATTTCATTTTTACTTTCATCTTGCAATAACGGTTTGCAGTAGAATGCTCAAATATTGACTGTGACCTTTCAGGTGCTTCAAAATATCAGTATGTCATATTTCCTCGCTCTCGGTTGGATGGCTTAGGAGTCTATAAAAGACACATAGACAGACGTTTTCATTTTTACATATATAGATTTCTTTTTAAATAAGCTTGTTCTAAGCAAGAATTTTCCTAACCATAAAATGAAGACAACATATATTTGGGTAACTTATAAAATAATTATAATATCTCATACATTTATAAAGCGTACTTATATTTTTTAAAAATGAAATAAAAAAAATTCTGAACTATGAAGAAAATTAAATATTTAGAAAATTTTTCTTAAATTTGATGACAAAAAAGAAACTATGCGCTGTCCTTTTTTTTCTTCTTTTTTTTCTGTCAAACTGGTAAAATCAATAAATCTCTTACCCACGACATAGCGTTCTCACTGTTTCAAATATCTCGACAGTGACCTTTCACGCTCTTCGAATTAGTTTAAAAAAACTGGTTTAAGAGTCTATAAAAAGACCACATGGACGGATATTTTCATAACCATAAAATAAAGACAACTTATATTTCTGTAACTTAAATAATTATAACATCTCATATTTATAAAACATACTTATATTTCTTAAAAAATAAATAAAATCCAAAAATTAAATATTTAAAAAAACTTCTTTAAATATCTTAAATATTTACATATATACTAGCTGTACCCTGCGTGCGTTGCAAAGCTTTCAGTTCGAATATAAATTTTGTATTTAAGTGTGTAAATGAGATTTGTGATTATGATTTGAATAGAGAATTTTATTTAATGGTGAAAAAACCAGTGATAGTCTCAACAGTTAATTCTCTAGGATATATATGATTGTTG